ATAGCAACTAATTTGTAGTTAAAAGAACCTCTCAATAACAATTCTGATTCTGGCAGGCTCGAAAGGGTGCGTTCAAACTGTTGCATCTGAAAGCTTAGGCAGCTGATTTGCTCACTGCCTTATCATGCCTGCTCAAATCAGCTGCCTAAGCTTTTTCTGGCAGTGTTTGTGCATGAAGGTATTCGGACAGACTTCTAAGGCAGCATAATGGTTTAATGATCTACAACAAAACAGAGAGAGCTTTGGTGATAGCTACAATATTAATTTCTTGCTGAAATGACATCAAAAGTGGGAAAAGTTGGTCAAAAATCTACATTTATATACAATTGACCACCAACCGCAACTTTTAGACAACATTTTTATTTTTTAGTTCAACTGTCACAGAATCGAACATACAGGGTTATAGGATCATCTACGCTGCCTTCAAAAATCGATCCAATAAAGGCATCTCAGGAGACAGGAAGTGAAGCTAACAGTGGATTTGGACATCTTCACTAGTAAAAAAAAAAAGTAATTCATTTAAAATACATTTATTTGATACGTATAGTTCAAATCTATGAACATATTTACTGACATATTGCTCAAGGCTTTCCTGATATAAAATTATAATTAAACTTTATTTGGAGTAGGCCTACTTGTACACAATGCACATTTCATAATATTAAGCCTAAAATGTGTTTTAATGTCACTATTGACGAAGATTGTATGATCTTTGAATAATATCTGTCTTTAAATGCAATATATATATATAGTGTACCTGAAGTATACTTGCAATAGTTCCACTTTAGCACTATCAAATATACTTCAGTATATCTTTATTTGGACTTCAGCACTATTTCTGCACAATTAAAGTGCTTTAAGTACAAAATTAGTTGTTCCAATTTAGCAGACTTTAAGTACACCAGTTTAATATACTAAAAGTACATTTGCTGGGTATTTTTATTAAGTACATAAATATGTAAATGTATTTGTGGTATACTTAGCATGAAATAAAAGTATTTCAAATACATCTTAGTATATTTATTTTTCACTAGGGTTGTTGCCTTCCTACTTCTGAAATTCATCCTCCGTAGGCAGCATTTTTCAAACTTAGGACGTAGCCAATTGAATGCACAGGTAGCTCCAGTCAGTTTAATCACTCTAATTCCAGTGACTTGTACATATCACCCAGAGTTCACACAGCAACTTGTCAGTGCTGCTCCATGACTTGTTTAATAGTTTCGCTACTGAATTGCAAAGTTATATTTCTCAGTAGCGGGGGTCAAACCTAGTATACCTAGTCATGGATTAGCCCTCACTTAGATCATGACATACTGGATAGATTAGAACAGGGGTTTTCAAACTGTGGGTTGCAAGGAAGGTCACTAGACCCAAACCTCATCAACTCTTTGGATCAAGATCAAACAACAAAATCTAAAAATGAGTCACTTAAAAAATATGACCAATCTTACCTTAATCTTTGTTTTGTTGCCTGCTGAGGTCCAGATGGTGAGGAAGTCCCATGTTGCCTTTTATGAAAAGAAAAGTTAGCTAGTGGTAGCATGAAACCCTAAAAACTTAAACAACACCTCACAATGAAACATTCTGCATACACCAACAAATGGTGAATCAGGTGATTTTATTTTCTTAAAAAAGGAAGAGTATTTTTGTCAGAAAAACTAATCTGCTACTGCAGCATCCCAGCAAAGCACTGCAAGCCTCATTTTTAGTTGCATATTGAATTGCGAGATCTCAAAGGACATATGCGAGGAGTTTTTGCTGCCTGGAAATGCTGAAAGTTCCACTTTCTGATACAGAAAGATACAGCATATAGAGGAAATTTGTTGTATTTTCCCTAGAACTTGATGAACGCACAGATGCTGCAAACAGTGTTACTATGTCAGGTCTGTTGACTCCATTGACATATATAAGGAATTTCTTGTTTTGTGAAGAACTGAGGGCAGATATTTTTGACTGCTTGAATGGATACATAATGGTCAAGGTCTTCCAGTGGGAACACTGTGTAGTCCTATGCACTGATGGAGCAGCAGCAGTGTTGCTTGAGTGAGGGTGGTTGCCCCATCAGATACTTTTATCTGCTGTTTTTTACACTGACATGCGCTTGCCAGTAAGAAACTGTACCCGGAGTTGAATGATTGCAAATTGAAATCAAAATAGTGAATGCTATCAAGGCTCAGAACATTTGCACCTGCTTCTTCACTCTGACGTCAGGTGGCTGTCACGGGGTAAGGTGTTAACTTGTGTTTGCTCCAGCTGTGAGAAGAGATTTCACAATTTGTATTCAATTCTCTTCTTGCTGTTCAAGAGACAGCTCAGATTCTGTATTTCCTCATATCTCCATTTAAAAATATATTGGCAGGTCTTGAGATAGATTACATTCGTCTAGGTCGGTCCTGGAATGAAAAGGTTTGGGAACCAGACTATACTATTTACAAACTATACAGACTATTACATTTGTATCTAAGGACAGACATTAAGCTGGTTTAGATCCTATTTATATGACCATTACCAATTTATTTGCCTAAATGAGGAACTATCAAATCTAAAACCAGTAAAGTATGGCTCAATCAAGGATCTGTGTTAGACCCCCTGTTGTTTTCATTACATGCTACATTATTTTAAGGACTGTCCCGGTAATACCTGCCATCTGTTACAACTAAATATGGCTTTTAAAAGTCTCATCAAAGTAAGAAATAATAATTTATTGGATATTTAACTAAGTAAAATGCTCCATATGAACACATTATGTGACATAAAAATATTCAGATTCTGACTGGAAGAAGCCAAAGCAGAGGCAGTGGTGATGCAGTGGTGATTCTGGTCAAGCATCTGGATGTTATTTGACTCCACGGACAAGGCCACTGCAACTGGTTATCGTGTGCACCAGATACCAGGGGTGCATTCCAAAAAGTAAGGTTAACTTACATCATCTATCACATATACTCTGAACTCAGTTGATTAACCCAGAACTCACTTACACGAATGCTGGTTCCAAAACCACGCCTGGAATCAGAGCATATCACCCACCTAATGAGTGGTTGTGCAATCATTTTTTTAATCTTACAGTTTAATCTTTAATCAGTTTAATTAATGTGAACAAGAATTATATTTTTTTGCTTGATTCTAATTATGAATTAAAATAAAGATTGATCAAACTAAAAAAAAAAAGATCTGTACTTGCAAGATAATATGGCTATATAAGTTAATTTTGTTTCTATGATGAAACTCAGCTTTTCTTACGTCATTATTTCTAGATCAGATAATTTTCCTTCTATTAAATTCTGATAAAACAATAAGCCCTGTACACATAAGAGCTTAGAAATACAATTAGAACATTGGAAAATTGTATACCTTAGACTAAAATTTTCACCTATACAGATGTACTGTTACTTCAGCTTCATACTATTACTTCCAGCCTCATTTGCGAAGACTACAGATTATGCTAACTATGAATGAAATTGAAATCAAACTTCAAACAAGGGTTTTCCCAAAGTAAATCCTCTTGGTGGCCCCAAACGGCAAAACTGTGGGCCCCACATGGGCTATCCCATAGAATGGCCTGTGTAGGATTTCTGTGCACAATTGGTAGATTATGGGTATAGAATATGTATCCCAAAATGCACATTAAATTTATTCTTTTATCAAAGAGTACTCAAACATTCTGAAAATAAAATGGTTATGGTTTGACCAATGAACAATTCCTTGTAGTGTAAAAAAGTTCTTTAGATGATTAAAATATAAGCTAAGAAAAAAATGGGGCATTCAAGAACCTGTCAGTAATGGTTCAAACAAAACGGTTCTTCTACGGCATCCCTGTGAAAACCCCATTTTTGGTTTTCTGAACAGCTTCATCGTTTAGAATGTATGTAAATATAAGCTCGGTATGAGGAAGAACGGAACTATCTGCATATATCCAAATAATATTTTCCTGTCAAACTATATACAGTATATATAAACATACATAATGATATTTTGCTGTCAAATGGGTGATCAAGTGATAGTTTTATGTTCAGCAGCATTAGTGACAGAAAACCTGTATGCATGCATCTATTTGTTTCTAGAGTTTTTAATCAAAAATATTGTGAGCTTTCCTGAGATTCATAAACATAAGTTCAATTATGTTCAATTAAGTTCAATACTTAAACATATTTAGAAATTATCTTAGTGTGTCCCTTGCATTTTGCTTCCAAATATAGATAAACTCCATAACTCAGGTCAAAATGTGATTTTTTTATTTCCAGTGAAAATGCATTTAAGTGCATTTCTTTTGCTGAGTTTGCCTTTTTGCCCAGCATCATCTATGGTAAGTTGGATAGTGGATAGCTTATAACACATTGTCATTGTAACAACTTATAGTGGTATATAACAACCTAACAACTTAACAACTTGCTGTTGATTTTTAAATCTATTTTTCTTACTGTCTGAATGTTGTTTTCATATCTCATGTTCTCAGCCCCCCTCCAGATATAGTTGGTAAGTACAGCACAGTCACTAAGATTAATCTGTGGTAAAGTTATTGTAATATGCAATATGTGTGTAGTGTAAAAGATCCTGTTTTGGCTGCTCATTTCTGTCTGATGATGTGATTGGCCTTTTATCATTTTAATTTCAGGCTGTTTCACTAAAATTACATTTTTGTCTAACACTCATATGTACATCTTTTCTTCATTATATTTTCCTCAAAGGCATTAATGGAGAATGGAAGGTCATTCCAGATATAAACAAAGGTAAAACCAAAATTTTATCTGAAGAACTTTATAAGCAGATGATGTGAAGATGTTTATAAGCAGTAAAGCATCTTATATCTATTTTTGTTTAGAAATCATTATTTTTATTCAAGCAAATGTACTATGAACTGAACAGTCTTGTGATATTAGGTTTAAATCTCAGAGAAGGAGACATTATGATGGTGAGTTCTGTATGTTGTTCCTTGCATAAATACAATACTGGATAATTTAGTAGATCTAGTTCTCTCAGGATTAAAACAATCTTCTTTAAAGCCTAATCAAAGGAGTGCCATTCTTGGGAATCAGTACCGGTGGGATATTCCCGTCCCCTATAAGCTGAGTGTGGATCTCAGTAAGAAATCTTCACTTACAGTTTAATCAACTTTTAAGTTAGTATTTAAATGAACTTTTATATGTTTTCCATGGCTATAGGTGTGAACTATAAAGGAGTCATTTTGAGAGCCTTCGAGCAGTTCAAACTGAAATCATGTATTGACTTTAAGCCCAGAGCAGCAGAAGACATTTCTTACATCTCTGTGGAGAGTCGTGATGGGTACAGTATGGTTCCAGTTAGTAATCCAAATATAGACTGATATATATTTTTTATATTTGCCTAATATAAACTAGTTAGGTATAAAATTAAATTAAAATGTTAAGTTATGTGTAATTTTTTTATTGTTTTTAATGAACCACATACAATTTTTGTTAAGTTTGTTTAAAAAGTTGGTTGAGAGAACAGAGCTGTAACTGTGGGCAAACAGTAGCTATTTTGAAAAATGGAAAATTTAGACAAAAAGATCATTTACATTTTTTTTTAAATATTTACATTTTTGGTTGCTAACATGATTCTTCAATTTGTGTTATTTTTACATATTTTGTTGTTCTATCACGTTGACTATTTATTTGGACTGGTAGTGTTGTTAACATATGTGTTATGTGAATGTGCTCTCTCACTTATTTTTCGGGTGTTGGTCATATGTCGGTCGCACATCTGCTAGAGGTCAGACTCTTTCCATTGGAAATGGCTGTGGAGTAAAAGCCATCGTTGAGCATGAGTTTCTCCATGCACTGGGATTTTGGCATGAGCAGTCAAGATATGACAGAGATGATTATGTGACCATCAACTTCAAAAACATCATTACAGGTCATTTGATTTGTTGCTAGTCCTGATGCTGAACTGTCCATTTAACTAAAGTAAATACGCCTTTCCTTATAAACATTTACACTAATAACTGCACTAGTCTTTATTTTCAGGTCGTGAGCACAATTTCAATAAATACATTGAGAACTTGACCACCACCCAAGGCACCCCATATGACTATTACTCTGTGATGCATTATGGTAAAAATGCCTTCAGCAACGGTAATGGATCCACAATCATTACCAAGCGTCCTGAGTTCCAAGATGTGATTGGTCAACGCCTGGACTTGAGTGAATATGATGTGATTGAACTCAACAAACTCTATAAATGCAGTGAGTATTTCCCACAGTGTTCTTTTTTAGTTTTAATGTATATTCTGTGTAGCATACTATAACAGTGGACTTGTGGTTTGGTTGTTGAATATCTCAGTAGGACATGTGTCTGTTGCAAGAAAGAATGATAACAATTGTAATGACTTGCCATGTAAAAAAAAATTTTTACATTTTTTTTTTTTATATGTCAGAGCCCAATCACCCTGTCAGTTTATTTTATGATAATGACCTACTGATTTTTAGGCTCTGATTTTGCCTCAAACATGCTTGTGTACATTACAGATTCGTCCATCTCTTTCCTTGATCACTGTAGTTTTGATGATGAATCTCTGTGTCAGATGAGTGTCTGTTCTGCTGGTGATTATGGCTGGCAGAGAATGAAGTCAGTGAGTGGCATCAATGTGACTGACCACACATACTTGGGCAAAGAACAAAATGGTGAGATCTGTTACAGTCAGTCAGTGAACTGAAAGTTTCTTCTTTTTTGACAGTCTGTGCTTTTTCACATAAAAAGACTTTAGAATGGAAGATAAACTATATTTTTATTGCCCAAAAAAGCCTCACTTCCGACCACAGTTGCAGTCACTATACCATCCAGTTTCGCACATCTATACACCTGTTTTAATGTCTGCAGGTGTGTCTTTCTTCATGCACTTCAGCACTGAGGGCAGAAATGAGGGGGATACAGCCAGAATTGAGAACAAGACGATGACCCCTAAAAGAGACTGCAAAGTCCAGTGCCTGCCGTTCTACTACTATCACAGTGGCCATGAGTCTGACCAGCTAAACATCTGGATCCGAGAATTTCAGAATGAAGCAGACAGCAGAGGAACTCTCAGACTTATGGATCAGATCACAGGCCAGTCTTTTTTTAAAGTCCTTTACATATTATAAAACATCTAAGCCTGTTTTTCAAGATGCTCCTTAAATATTTAATGTTACTGACCGTTTATTTTCTTGCAGAACCCCCTGGCAATTACTGGAAGCTGCATCATGTGCCACTGAATGTAATTAAAACCTTCCAAGTTGTGTTTGAAGCCCGTAAAGGAGCTGGAAACTCCAGTGGAGGATTTTCACTGGATGATATCAATATTTCAGAGACTGAGTGTCCCCACACATGGCAGATAAGGGACTTTGAAAAGGTGTTGAAAAACAGTGTGTCTGCCAATTTGATGTTCGGTCCATTGTATTACTCCAGTGATGGTTATCACTTTCAGGCTGGTTTAAGTGTGTATCAGAATTACCTTTCAATACATGTTCGTCTGGTATCTGGTGTATATGAGGACCAGCTACAGTGGCCTTGTTCATGGAGACAAATAACCTTCCAGATGCTTGACCAGAATCCACACTTACAGAAGCGCATGTCTTCTGAGCGGAGCATCACCACTGACCCTGCTTGGGCTTCTTCTGATGAGAATCTGATTATTTTTCTCTCACATTGTGTTACATGCAGCATTTTAGTTAACTGAAGATCATGATTATTATTATATGTAGGTTTTAAGTGCCTAAAAGCCATATTTTGTTGTAACAGATGTCAGTGTTTGGGACAATCCTCGAAATACTGGAACTCGAGTCGTCATTGGCAATGAGGCCGTATATGTGGGTATTTTTCGGGGCTATCAATATGACATAATGAAAGAAGATCTCACTAGAAGAGAGTTTATCAAGGGTGGTGACATAATTTTTCTCTTCAGCATGCAAGGTAAGTAATTTCAGAGAACAATTTTATCTTAAATAAAACACTGTATTAAAAGTAAATTTGACAGAATTAGAATGATGACAAGTTTCAAATTTGAGACTTGCATCTTTCTGAGAACATTTAGAGAACTGTTGTTTACAAATTCAGAATACTTTGTCATAGATATCTCAGAGCTACCTCAGAATAACTCTCTACCCTGCCCTAAAGTGACAGTGAAGAACTTCAACATTTCATTTGATGCAGTTGTCAAGCAGAGGCCATGTGCTACGAGGTGAATATTCTTTTAAATACTGTTACACCGTCTACACTCTTAAAGGGGTCATATGATGCGATTTCAAGTTTTCCTTTCTCTTTGGAGTGTTACAAGCTGTTTGTGAATAGAAAAGATCCCTAAAGTTGCAAAGACTAAAGTCTCAAACCCAAAGAGATATTCTTTATAAAAGTTTAGACTCGTCCACGCCCTCCTAAAACGCCTTGTTTAAACACGCCCCCACATGTCTACATCACTGTGCCGCCCAAATGTTCACGCAAAGAAAGAAGGTGTAACTTTATTGTTGCTGCCACCGCCAGATCGACTGTCCTGCAAAGTTCAGCTCCAACTCTAATTAAACACACCTGCCTTTAATTTTCAAGTGGTCCTGAAGACCTTAATTAGTTGTTTTAGGTGTGTTTGATTAGGGTTGGAGCTGAACTTTGCAGGACAGTCGATCGCCAGGAGTAGGATTGGACACCCCAGATGTACAGTATGTGGAAAATAATGTTTTTTTTTTTTTTTTCCTTAAACCGCATAAACACATTTCATTACACCAAATACACAAAATAATGTTATTTTTAGCAACATCATTTGACCCCTTTAAAAATAAAGGTTATTTATTGGCATCAGTGGTTGCACAAAGAACCTTTACCATCCATGGTAACTTTTCATTCCACAAAAGGTTCTTCACAGTGGAAAAAGGTTCTTTAGATTATTAAAATGATCTTCACACTAAGAAAAAATGGTTCTTTTAAGAACTGTTCATTGAAAGGTTCTTTGGGAAACCAAAACTGGTTCTTCTTTGGCATCGCTGTGACAACCCCCTTTTGGAACCTTTATTTTTCAGTGTACACCAGACAATAGTATCCAGCTGCAGACCCGCAGTGCCACACATAACAGGACTCTCAGACTGGAAGTTAGAGTAGAGATTATAGACTCACTGAGGTTAAGCTCAAAGTACACTTCGGCCATCCATGTTCAGCAACGGTGTTCGCACTGTCTGCGAGCAGCCCAATTTTTTGTGTCCGCGCAGAAACAAGGTGAATGTTGAGACAGAAGAGTCCACTAGGTGATATCATGCTTGTGTCAAACTCATCCATCTGCTCTCATCTGTGGTTGAGTATACTTTGAAAGCTGTTTGGAAAACAGCTGTGTGCAAGACGGAGTGGAACAAGGAAAATAAAGTATACCCGGGTCTTTACAGTTAGTGGGGTGCAGTTAGGCATTCGGTAGGGTGGAGTTTATAGTTGTAGGGAAGTTAGGGTTACTGTTGGGGGCGGGACAGGTAATCGTCAACTCTGCCCTAAATTCTGGTCTGAGACTGCTGGCCTGCCGCTGCTGTCCTGAAATTGCTGTCATAATGAAAGATGATCTCAGTAGAAGAAATTTTATCGAGGGTCATGACATCATAGTACTTCTCTTCAGGTTTTGTGAAGTAACTTCAGAGAACAAGTTTACCTTTTAAAAAACCTTTTTTATCTTTACCTTTTTTTTATTTGCTGTGGTACTATTTTCATAAGCAACTGGTAAATTTTCAAAACTGTTAGTACTAATTTCACAACAGATCATCAAAAGTGCCCTTTTTTTCAAACATTTCAGCGTGTTTTCAATTGTCTTATTACAATACACACAATCACAAAGTATCCTTTTCACTACACAAAATAAGTGTTTCATCTATATAAATGTTTCATTCACAGTAACTGCCTTTCATAAAGCTTTTACTATCAAACTTTTCATTTGCATGTCTTCTCATTCAGTTTAATACATTATTTAATCTAACTCATCTTAATTGTTAATCAGTTAATAGTTTGGAGCATCTATATATATATAGATATAGATTCAACAGATATAGTTTCTAAAGAACTTGTTTGCAACTTAGGGATAACCAAATGTAATGAATAATTTTTTGCACTATAAGTGATTTATCTTAGATGATAACCACTATTTTGTATGTGTGTGTGTGGTTCAGGTAACCCTATATTATGGGAGCAAAATGTCCCCACAAAGATGGCAATATCTGAAATCCTTGTCCTTGTGGGAGACTTTTTTTTTTCTATGAGAAAAAAAACATTTGTAAGGTTAGGTGTAGGAGTAGGGTTAGTGTAGGGGGATACAGTTTGTACAGTATAAAACCCATTAATCCTATGGAATGTCACAATAATGATAGGAATACCTGTCTCTGTCTGTGTGTGTGTGTGTGTGTGTGTGTGTGTGTGTCCGTATGTGTACCTTCTTAACCGTATTTTGGGATCAAATTAGTACCCAAAGTGAGAAAACCTGACAAAATCACCAAAAACCTCCCTTTGAGGGCGTCCTCATTTGTAAAATTGAGTGTTTTGCAATTTGTAAACATACAGCAGGATACAAGGGAAAGGAACTGATCAGAGATTGATCAGAGATGTATCAGAAGAAGGGAGACAGATGGCATCAAATACATTATCAAACACAAATTACATTACATTATGCCATGCGATACTGTATATAGAGGCATTACCATGGTAAAAGGCTCCACATTACTATAACTCAGTAACTCACCTTTCATCTGAAAAGTTCAGTTACAGTATAGCTTCAGTCATATGTCATACTGAATTGACAGTAAACTCTATTCTAGCACCAAACCATATGGCCATGTCATACCTTCATCACACCTTTTGATACAGTAACTAATAATACTTTTACAGTGAGTTATGCAAGCTAGGTAATGTAAGTGTATTTTCTAACATGACTATTACTATAATTATTTCAGCAACAAAGGTGATTTGAAACATGTATCTTGCATTGTTTGCTCTTGAATTAACTGATTGTTAAAAGTACTAAGTTGAAAGAAGATCTTACTGTTGTGTTTTGGTGATTTAACCAAATGTTCTCAATAGATATCACAATGATCTTGTGTTCTGAAACAATGATTATGTGGAATGAAAATATGTGCAACTGCAATGAAATCATTTGATCAGGTTTTGAAAGAATGAATAGTGGTGTTACAAGTGTAATCAGTTTAACGTTTTGTACTAAGAGTCTTGAAAATGTACACCTTACTTATGAAAATAGTACCAAACCAATAAAAAAAAACTGTAAGAGTGAATTTGGCAGAATTAGAATGATGACAAGAATTCAAATTTGTGACTTTCTGAGAACATTTAGGGAACTTTTGTCTACATTTACAGAAAACTTTGTCATAGATATCTCAGGGCTACTTCAGAAGAGTGCTCTACACTGCCCTAAAGTGAAGAACAAAATCAAAGAGAATCCAGTGTAGAATAAATAAAATTCTTATATATATATATATTATAATATACTGTTGCTGCATACTAAAATATTGTATTTTATTAAGCAGAGTAATGCCATTCTTATAGGCCTACATTCTTACTATCCCAGGGATGCTGGAGCCCCAGCTTCTCAGGCCGAAGTTACCATTCAAGTGAAATTAAACAAAATGCATTGCAAACAAACATGTAATTAAAAGATTACTTGAAATGTTATCATATTAGGCAAATTCAATAACTGGATCCTTCTGCTAGAAGATATCTCTATACCATTACAAAAGTTTGCTATGCAAAAAAAAAAAAAGATTAGCTATGGGCACTGACTAATCAGAAGCCAGGGCCACAACTAGCTGTTTTATAATGGTACAGCATTTCACATTCCGAACCACACAGTATCAAAATATATTAAATGAATGAGATGAAATTAATATTTTCTAGTTCAACAGACAGTATTAATATTTATATGCCTATTTCTCTTCCTTTAGTGATTGTCTGGGCATATTTTGCACTTCCAGTACTTCCTCTCTGATCTATTGGCGGTTTGCTTCCGTTTGCTGGTAAATTAACTCAGAAATTTTCCCAGCTCTATGTCTGACTGCATGAATTCAATATAAAAGCATCTATCTTCAGCCTTCTGGTATATGATACTCTTAAACTTGTATTTTAGTATTTTACACAGAATACATCTATAATTATCTGTAATGAAACAATCAACCTGTTAATTTTAGCCTATTGATTTCCATGATAAACTTGTTGAATATGTTTCACACATTTTCTGAATAAGTTAAGTTAAATATTTGAAATCATTGCATAACATTATTGGTTGTAAATTGCTATACACAATTTGAAATGTGTCTATGCACCCACAAGAACTATGTGAATGCCTTGTATGAATCACAAACCAATTTTGAAAAACTTAATGTGTTTAACTTCATTTTTGATCGATTTTTGATTTTCTGTGCTCTTGTGATGCTTGCTATTGTAGATTAATCTTATGATTTTGTGGTTATCTTAATAATCTTATGATGTTATGATTATGTGGTTTCAAGGGATATTTGTCTTTGTGAGAGATAAGGAAAAGTCTCCATTTCAAGGTTTTTAACGTCACATGACGATGCTGTGAAGCGGTCATTTTCCATTGCATTAATTCAACACTTGTTGAATTTGTGGTGGTCAGATGAAGTCCAGCTAAGCACTGAAAAAGACTAAGATTATTCAATAAAACCTGCTCATTCAGATCACTTTATCTCCTGCTTTCTCTCACTGTTTCCTCTGCCAACCTCTTGGCTGATACAAGACAACGAATAAAAAATTATTAATTGGATAAAATGCAGTTCTAACTGGTTTGGGGTTTTAACTGGTTTTTGATACCAAACAAAACAGATGTCTTCTGACAAATTCTGATAAAAAGACTGGATCCACATGCTTGGCTTTCCTAGGTGTTGAAAGGATCTAACAATGCATGCAGATTTTACAAAGATCAAAGCATCTGCAACCTCTGAAACAAACAGCCCACTGTCTGTGTTTCTCATGAAAAGGAGCCTGCAAACCACCTGCAAGATTTTAGTGGCATATGGTGGAGCTGTCCCTTGTGTGCAGGTGAAGAAAAGGACATAAACATTTATGATAGACAAAAACAGTTTTGAACTGATCATTCCTAATTTTATTGCAAGTGTTTTACTCTGGCACTGAATAATCTAGCATTAAACAATCTATGAAGGTATAAAACACCTAAATCACAAACAGCAGCATGAAAAATCAGCAGATGGCAGTAGAGCTCTGATTCTGTTACAAACTTCTCCACAAAATGCATGAAGAGCTTGAGAGACAGGGAGGCTAATGGAATAATAACTAATTAATGGCTAAAACTCCAGGTGGTCACTTTTTATAGAATAAAGTATAGAAAATAATTTTCATAGAGAGCATTTTTAGCTGTCTTTCCTTGAAAAAAGAAAAAAAAAAATTTTTTTGTAATGGCCAGCTTTTAATCTGGTCTCCCAGCCTGTTCAGATGGTATAGCTGGTGGACCAGTTGTCAAGTTCCCAAAACGCCTTCCAGCAGTCCAGACCAGCCTGATTAGACTGGGAGAGCAGCTAAAACCAACTTCAAGCAATGCATTACATGAAAGCTTACCCAGACACAAAGGTCAGCATTTTGATGTCAGAATGTAACATTTAAACACATATCAGGCACAGATACTAGTTTATACAATACAGACTGATTTGTCAAGTGAAATGTGCTGTTTGTGTTCCACTGAATGCGCTTTAACCACACACTGCATATTTCACATATTCGCAAATGTTTAACAGTATCCCTGAGGATCATTTATGGGCTGCCATGCCGAAACCTGTATGTGTGATCTAAGGTCAGTTGAGGAAACCCCCAGCTAGGTACCGATGAAGTGGGAATCTCCCTTCTCAACTTGAGTAGCCTCTCATTGCGCTGACTCTCAGTTTCTATGATGTCCTGCTCCTCAAGTGATTGGCGGATGAGGGACTTGAGCAAGGGCAGACCAAGGCCAGTTGTGGCAGAGACTGGGATGATGTGCGTGAAACGCATTAGGCTTTTAGGGATGACATACTCAGGAAAGAGGTTGCTTGATTCTAGGAAAGCACAGCATCACTTCAAATAGTCAACAGAGGAAAACTGCACATACACAGCCATCAAGCTCGGTGCAGTGAAACAATCACATTAGGCCTGCACTTCAGCTAAATTTACTTGTGGCAGAAACCCGAGACTGCCAAAATAGTCAATAAGAGTACAAATCACAGACCTTCCCCTTGGGGAAAATTGCGGTACATATATTGGTGTAAAACATGAACCTTTTAACAGATGTAATAAACTGCTCTCAGACTGCTTTTTAAACACAATGGGTATATGTTGAACTGATATCAATCTGCATATGTGATGGACATCGGTTAAGACCATCTATGGTATCTCATTTGAAGGCATCTTGAGTAAGACATCTCCATATTTAACAAAGTACATACAGAAGACCTAATCCGGAAGCAACGCGACCTGTTTTACAGAATATGGAAGTTTAATGTTGCACGTAACCACTATTGTATGAAACAATAATGCAACCACTTGATTGATAAAAGCATCTACTGTCGTGATATGAAATTTCTCCTACGCACCCACTATATACCTAAAATAACACAAAACAAAGTCTAAAGGCAATTTTTGACTAATATGCTTAAATGGCCTATATAATAAAAAGCCCCTAAATTACCCGTTCACTTCTAATAAAACCTACCTTCCTGGTTCTCCAAGTGAGCTTCCAGTTCTCGGAGACAACCCTGAGCCTCGGGGAGGTCCATCTTATTTATGACCAGGATCGCTGGCTTGCCTAACAGTTCCTCCTTATACAACTCCAATTCCTGATTAACAGAGAAAATCAAGAGCATTTTATGCATCATAATCGTATATGTAGAAGCATTTCATTCAGAAAAGAAGTAGTGTTTTTTTTTACATAGAACTCACATGTCATATATACTGTATATGTATGTGTGAGTGTGTGTATTCATATGCACATTGCCGTTCAAAAGTTTGGGGTCAGAATTTTTGTTTTTGAAAGAAAACTCTTTTATGCTCACTAACACTGCATTTATTTGATCACAAATACAGCAAAAACATAAATATTGTAAAATATTATTACAATTAAAAATAATTCTTCTATTTTAATATATGTAAAAAAAAAAAAAGTAGTTTCTTCCTGTGATGGTAAAGCTGAAATTTTAGCAGCCATTATTCCAGTCTTTATTGTCACATGATTCTTCAGAAATTACAATTCTTCAGAAATCAATCTAATATGCTGATTTAGTGCTCAAAAAAACATTTCTTACTCTTTTCAATGTTAAAAACAGTTGCTTAATATTTTTTTGTTAAAACTGTGACACATTTTTTTCCAGGATTATTTGATGAATAGAAATTTTAAAAGTATGGTATTTATTTGAAATATTTTGCAATATTATAAATGTATTTACTGTCCCTGTTGATAAATTTAACGCATCCTTGCAGAATCAAAGTATTATTTTTTTTTTTTTAAGTACTGAACTCAAACTTTTAAACGGTTGTGTATATTATTACCTTATGAGGAAAAAAAATTAACTTAAATGATTTTAGCAAATGGCTGCAATATAACAAAGAGTGAAAAATTTAAGCGGGTCTGAATACTTTCCGTACCCACTGTACACACACTGGTAAGTTGGTTTAACTCATTTGTAACTGATTAGCAGTTCTCACAGGAGTAGCTGGCGATCCTTGGTTTGGCATGAGACAAGGCAGTCAGCAAGGAGGATTTGCCTGCATTGGGAAACCTGTCAAAAAAAAAAGCAAGCCCAAATCTATTAAAATGTTTGATGTGTGTAATATACACATTAGTGGACAGAGAAAACAATGAAATGAGAAAGGTCACAATTATGAAACTTTACTTTTGAAAAACATCACAATAATATATATAAAAAATAATACGTTTTTATGTACCAAAAATAGTTTATGCATTATGTATTTTTGTTTTGTTTATACATTATTTTGTGCATTGTTCCAACATAATTTTTAGCTCTTTATGTGCTTTACTTTGTAATTTTACGCCCTTTGTTTTAAAGCAATACTTTCCCAGTCCACATTCTGTGTTTGGAACAACATGAGGGTGAGTAATATACCCATAGACTAATAGAGTAATATGCATATAGACTGGGCATCCCATTAAGCACTGCAAACAATGTAATCTAATTTTAGTAATTCAGTAAAATTAAATAAATAAGTATTATTAAGTATAAAAATAATAAGCATATCAATTCTTCAAATGCATTTTAAAGAGGTGAAGAATGAGCAAAGATACTTTTATTTTATGCTGTGGGTCCTCAGGACTAGGATTGAAAACCACTAAAACAGTTTCCAGTCACGTTTTCGTTTGTGGTGTAGACAAACCATTCATTTCACATACTCCACACAAGTGGATTTATTAAGAATGATTTAACAAATCCAACCTAAATGAACACCCAACAGCATAAATAATGTCCCTTTAAATTGACACCTGAGCTAGCAGGAAATTCAATTTGATGAGCTAAAACGCAAGGAAAGACCACCATTGAACGATTATTAAATTAAAGAGGGGGAAAAAAGAATTCCCAATCCAAAGTCAACATGACGCACTTTGTAGCATACTCAATTTCATTAATGGTTTGTCTGGGCCCTCTGGGGTTAACAAACGTCTCAGGTTACTTATGTAACCATGGTTCCCTGAGTAGGGAACGAGACACTGCGTCCTCTAGGGGTTGCTATGGGGGAACGCCTCGTCGTGACCCATGTCTGAAGCATACATTGGAAAAAACACCAACTCGTTGGCCGGCGACAGCCATGACGTCACTACCGGTGCGACTATAGTATAAATAAGCGCCGGGAGCACACATCATTCACTTCTTCATCTGAAGCTTGCGTCC